GAGAGAGAGAGAGAGAGAGAGAGAGAGAGAGAGAGAGAGAGAGAGAGAGAGAGAGCGGGACAGATGGGACGAGAGGGAAAGAGAGCGGGAGAGACTGAGAAAGATAGTGAGAGAGGGAGAAAAAAGAGAGAGAAAGAGAGACAGAGGGAGAAAGCGAGAAGGAAGAGAGAAGGAAGGAAATCGGACATAAAATTGTCGGATTATATTTATTCCACGTAAAAAAATCTCAACGCATGACAATTCCCCCTGGCCCGTCCCCAGCGCTACGACAACCAAAAATAAATCACGAAAAATATATCGAATCACACACGGCACACAGCACTGCCTCGCTATCACCACACAACGCGACGTTGCCATGGCGACGACTCCCGCCAGGTGGCGCGCTCACCTTGTACTGCTGCTGCTGGGGAGGCTGATTCCACGGTGTCTTTGCCTGCGTCTGGATGCGCTGCGGCTGCTGCTGCTGCTGCTGCTGCTGCTGCGGACCCCCGAACAGTGGGTCCGATTCCGGACCCCTCTCGGACGCCGGAACGAACGGCTGCTGCTGCTGTTGCTGCTGGCCGCCCCAAGGAGGCGCCACGGGGCTGGACACGGGCGGCGTGCCAGGAGCTCCTGACAAGAGAGCAGCAATCGTTAGAGGGCGACACTGTCGTGACGTCATACATGATGTCTGTGATAGGAATCGTGGCTGATGTTAAATAATTGTTGAATTATAATTAATTTGTTAAAGTCCGACTTTAACAAAATTAATTAAAATTTAACAATTATTTAACATGAAAGTCGTGAGAATATAGCATAGAGTCAATGTTTCACCTCGCATTTATTAATGAATTAAAGCAAGGATAGATTCTGATGAGGATATGCTCTCTGATGCATGTTCTCCGATACATGACGAGCCAGAAATTACTGCGTAATGTTAATCGAAAAATCATCGTCGCTTTTAATTAGCATTTACATTATACATATTTTGATTACACATCTCTATATACATAGATATACATATCACATTACATCACAATACATAGCTTCGAGCCAAATAATAAATGGGCGTGTGCTCTATATCCACTCTTCTAATCATGTCATGCACACGTAGAAATGCTCCGAAGACAAAAATCCCTAAAACATATGCGACGGACAAAGAAATGCACGATAGGGCTAGGAATTCTACAACTGTGACGTCATAGCAGTGCGGCGTCGGAAAGTGTGACGTCACAGCAGAGCGACGTCGGGAAGTGTGACGTCACAGCAGTGCGACGTCGGGAAGTGTGACGTCACAGCAGTGCGACGTCGGGAAGTGTGACGTCACGGGAAGCATGTCGGGATTCAAATACAGTTTGGATAAAGGCAAGGTCCATAAAAGTCTCTATACGGTCTATAAAGTGTGTAGGTATAGTACTCACTGGGTGGATTAATGATGTCCTGGTTGCAGTTAAAAAAAAAACAGAGAAAAAGAGACGATGACACGGAACCACACGTTACGTGTTCAGACGGATGCAAGGACCGCACATACACGATGCCATGTTAGTAGCTTAGTATGGTTGGTTAGTCACGTGTCCGGGGGTCGGGGGTCGGGGGAGGGGGGTCGGTGATTCATCCGTTACTTCGCGGGTTTTCGTAACATCTTCGTGACCGTGAAAAAAATCTTCGGCCCTCGCGTGACCGCCAGGGGGCGAGGACGATGACGTCATCATCATACGTCATAGCTAGCGATGGCTGTTCAGTCGTTTTCGTCGCTCCCCCCTTTTTCCCTAATATATGCGGCTCTTAAAGGGACACGATCTGACATCTAATGGGGCAGGTGACTTACATTCAGGATCTCTCAGACACTCTTAGTCTGTCCCAGAACCACGCCCACCCACCGATGATTGACAAGGGGCGTGTACGCTGGTTTAACTGCCGGCTATGGGTGGTCATCGTACACAAATAATTATTTTTACTGCGGTAGAAATAACTCAACCGCGGTAAAATGATAGACCTTTGACACAATCAGAGGCCCTGTTACACATAATTTAACCACGGTTGAATGATTTCTATACTGCGGTAAATAAAATAATTATTTTCAGAGTACGATGACCAACGATAGCTGGCTTACAGCTCGTGCTGTAACACATTTGGAAACCTTTTGCTACCCAATCAATAGCTTTTCGACCGTATGCGTGGTCCGTTAGAACAGTGCTTCTTAAACTGGTGAATGCTTCACCCAATAGCGATTGAAATCATTTTGGCGTGAAAGAAACTTACCAAAAAAAAACACAAGGTAATTTTAGTCGCGGGTGAATGCAATTTTGTGATAAGCACTCGAAGATAATTAACGCTGAAATAGTTTAAGAAGCACTGAGGTAGAACTCCCAGCATCTGTAAACGTCAGACTGAGAGTGCGTGGGAGCAGCTAGATAGCTATATATAGATGCCACATCGTGCCCCTTTAAACCCCAAAATTTTTTTTCAAGCAATTACTAGACTACCATGAACTATTATTAATAAGTGGGTGTTTGCTTTCGAGTACTCCCACAACATGGCTACCACTAACAACGACTACAAACTGTAAGTCGTTGTTATAAAAACCATTTTTGTAACAACGAAAATAGTACTGTAAAACGACTGTAATAAACAACGACGAAATCCGTTATGTGGTAACGTTAATGTTTTTTTTCATTCTTTTTAACAGTTCTTTTTCGTTTCATAATTCTGACACATTGTAAAAAATGCGTCTGTATCGTTGCTGTTTTTGCTCAGTAGTTTAAAACGTATTCTTTTACGCTCCCGCGACAACTGTTCTTACTGCAACCCCTCTTGTTTACATATGCTTACATTACACTCATTACTGGAGTTGTCGTGGAGTGTTGCTACTGGTACTGGTACTAGGCACTTCCCTGTTACTCATAGCTCTATAGAAGCTGTGAAGATATTACTATAAGGTGTAGAGGCATTTATTCGCAAAACACTCTAATGCTAGGGAGAAAAAGGTGTGGCGAGCGACAGCATATAATGTATATATAATAAAATATTCTGTCAGATTCTAACAGTAAGTGAATATACATATATTATATATGATGTATATATATATATATATGTATGATATGACATATATTATGTACAGATATTCAATTATGTAATAAATAATTCACTCACTGATAGAATCCTACAAATTCTTTTATTTCTATATGTTAGATATGTGTGGAACGTAAAATTGTAATAATAGAGCGAACACCGGAACCGGAACAAGATTATGACGTCATGTTTATTGTTCACGAACGTCGGTCGGTCAACTGAACGATGAGCCATTTTTCCTTCTTCTTCTAAAAACTGCATTGACGATAAGAAATACAAATCACACGTCCGTGCGTGCATGTGTGTGTGTGTGTGTGTGTGTGTGTGTGTGTGTGTGTGTGTGTGTGTGTGCGTGCGTGCGTGCGTGGCGATGGGAGATACAACCTGTTTATCGCTACAGAAGTAAAATATTCCGCAGCAGCTGGAATCGTCACAAATGCGCATGCGCACATACATACGCACGCACGCACATGCACACGTACATACGCACGCACGCATGCGCACATACGTACGCACGCACGCACACGCGCACATATACGCACACCCGCACACACACGTACGCACACATACGTACGTGCCCACGCACGCGCACACGCATGCATGCACGCACACATCCATTTTTCAACCTAGTTCCCGCTGGTCCTCTACTTCCCTCCTAGGTCAGCATCAGAATCAGAGCAACTCTCTACGACAGAGGGAGACACTGAGGAACAAGATGCACTCTCTGTAGCAACACCGGATCCGCCATCCGCAGCAGCACACTCTCGCAGCATCAAACGCTAATAATACATGCATAATGTATAAATGTA